ACGAGCGAATTGGAGGAAAACTGTGCGCTGGGAAAGACCCTGCGCTGCAAGGCAGTTTGGGATTTCGGATTAAGCATTTACATAGACTGACTTATGTGGGAACCTGATTAAGAAACCCTGGCCCTATAACCCCAAACTATTCAGGATTCATATAAGGAGCCCTAGTAAAGACCCAAGGATTCTTAATCAGATTCCCATACTACCCTGAAACGCTACGCAACAAACCCTGTAAGCCCTAAATCCTGAACGCTGTTCCAAACCCCTGCCACTTGGGCGTACAGCTTGGCCTTCGCATCCCACTTGCCCAACCCATGTATAATAGGTCCTTGGAAGCCAAGGGAAATGCCCAAACCCTCAATCTTAGAACACAAGTCCTTTTGACCCTTACTGTAATCGGCAACCCTCTGAGCCTCAAAAAGACACCCTTTTCAACCCAACCCCTTACATCATCAGGGCCCTCCCCAGTGTATGAAGCCGTTCACGGTCAGCCTTTGTATGGCATTCCCGTGAAGGACAAGAATTGGCCTATGCTCTGCTCTCCCAGGCGTTGCGAGCGCTCACAGAGTCAGAAGTGAGTGATGTTCCAGTGAAGCACTGCCCAGGGTAATCGCCCAAGGCAAGCAACGCCGGGAGAGCGAAAACTGTGCACCACAAGTGATGCGAGGACTTGCGGCGGAATCCCTCCGGAGACCAAGTACCCGAATGCAGGGCGTACGGCCCATGTAACCCTTTACTACATATACCATACCATATTAGACCATCCTGTACCGTCATTACTGTACTCTCCAATGCGAGACTGCATAAACAATAAGAATGAAGCTGAACTAGACTGGACTCGACTAGACTAGACTAAACTAGACTGGGTTAGACTAGACGAGACTCGACTAGACTTGACTAGACTTTAAACTGGGTTAGACTAGACGAGACTCGACATGACTTGTCTGACGATTTAGGGGTTTAGGGGTCTAGGGGTCTAGGGGTGTAGGGTTTAGGGGGTCAGGGTTCGAAGCCCTGCACAATAAAGTAGACTGCTGAGAACCTGAAGCCAATGGAAATAGAGACAGGATTCAGGGTTCTGGTTAAGGGAATGGTTTAGGGTTTAGGGTTTAGGGTTCTGGTTAAGGGAATGGTGGGACCCTTGTTATCGCAAGCTAGAACATAGTCTATGGTGGACAACTGAGGCCATTCGGGTTGAATCCCAAGAAATACGGACTCTTTTTGGACTATGCTGTATGGCTTCAGGGTTGAAGGTTCGGAGAATAGTCGGGTTCTTTTTGCGAAATATAAGACTTCATACCTTTAAACCCTAAATTAAACTCCCAAACCGTCCACCCTAAATCCTCTAAACCTAAACCCTAACCCAATATAAATAGAGAGAGAGAGAGAGAGCGAGAGAGAGAGAGAGAGAGAGAGAGAGAGAGTGTGAGAGAGTGTGAGAGAGAGAGAGAGGGGATCCCCGAAGTTTAAGGAGCCCTCCTGTGCCCTGCAGCTCCACGTCCGAAGCCGTGGCATTGGTTGGTTGGGTTTGGGGTTTAGGGCTTGGGGTTTGGGGTTCAGGGTTTCAGGTTTGGGGTTTAGGGTTTAGGGTTTCAGGTTTAGGGTTTGGGGTTTAGGGTTTGGGGTTTAGGGTTTGGGGCTTGGGTTTTCAGGTTTGGGGTTTAGGGTTTAGGGGAACCGTGGTCTCTCCTTACTACAGTGGTGCTCGCCAGCTTCATGGTCGTAAGAGACGATGAGGACAATTTGTAGAACTGGCTTTAACACAATCTGAACATGATCTATGATCTGCCGCAGCCGTACTTGGAATGCTGCTTCCTGGATGGAACCGAAGAACAGAAACGAAAGCTTGCGCTGAACACTATCTCGAGAACAATAACAGAATTCGTAGACCCGAGCGCCGAACACTGAAAGCCGCCAACTGTTCAGGTACCTGGGCCCTGAGACAGGGTATAGGCAGGAATTAAGAAGCAGGTGTCTTCTCCTTGCCTTTCAAATATTCCTTGTTGCAACATGCAATTAGCGATCCAGCTCTGCGGAAAACGCCATTGGTGTTCCAACGCTTCAGCTGGAAAAAAAAGGCATGGCCACCATTTCTTACTTCGGGATGTGTCTTAAGGGTTTGCGGTGGTTTGGGGTTTAGGGTTTAGGATGGTTTAGGGTTCTTACGAAGCTGCAAAGGCAAGAGCCAAACAAAACCCTAAACCCTAAACGCTGAAAGCCCCGAAGTTCAAGGGCCCATAGCTCTCCCAGAAGGACACACCCGGCGGCATATAGGGGATGTGCAAGTATCCACCCATCCTAAACCCTAAAACCTAAATCCCAAACCCTAAACCCCAAACCCTGAAACATTGCCGACGACTAACCTGGTCGAGGGTTTAGGGTTTACTGTAGGGGCCTCAATCGTTAGAAGGGGTTTTTGGGCTCCTCTATCGTATAACTACAACAAGGAACCCTAAGGAATAATATTAGGAAAAGTAGCTGGGCTTCTATATTACGGTCTCTGGTTCCCTGTTGGGGCCATATTAAGAATGATCTTTTGTAATCCTTATCAGGGTTTTATTACAACAAAAGTATAACCCTAAACCCTAACCCTAGACCCTAAACCCTAAACCATCAACCATAAACCCTAGACCCTAAACCCTAACTAAACCCTTAACCCTAAACCCTGCAACAATGACCCAGGTCTTTTTGGGGGTGGAGAGGGTGCACAGGGAAGGGTACTCGAGGCCCCGTGACCCCAAGCATCCCCGCAGCCTAAACCTTGAAACCCCAAGCGCCCTAGTTAGGGTTTTAGGATCTTTTAGGGTTTCGGATCTGCCGAACATGGGCTGAAATCGCAGCAGATCTTTGAGGGTTTAGGATCTTTTAGGGTTTAGGATCTTGTTTGAAGGTTTAGGATCTTTGAGGGTTTAGGACCATTGAAGGTTTAAGATCTTCGAGGGTTTAGGATCTTTGAGGGTTTAGGATCTTTGAGGGTTTGGAGCCTGCGCCTTCACCTCATAGCGTCACCGCAGAAGACTCAACCCGGCGGCGCAGAAATACGGCGAGCCAGAAGCTGTAGCCCAGTCCTGATTTGCAATGTCGGCGGTTTAGGGCTCATTTGGGTTTAGGGTTTAGGGTTTAGGGTTCAGGGTGTAGAGGTTTGCTTCTTTGAAACTCCTTGGTGAAGAAAGGGTTGAGGGTGACATTGCAGACTGATTGGGTAAGAGTTGATGTCTACTCTGTCCCGCTCTCTGCATCATACATTCAATTTTGTAAATACATAAACAAACATACATATATATATACACACATACACATACATATACACATGTACATAAATTCATATACACATAGACACATCTGTGCAAGCGGAGGAGCTAGAGCACTAGGCCTCCAGGGCTTGCCCATAAACCCCTAAATAGTTCCTTTTGGGAGTACCTTATAGGGTTCTAATTTTAAATATATACAGCCATAGAAAGGACCTACTTAGGGGATGGGTAAAGGGCGCCAGGGCCCTACTGCTACGGATTTTCCTGGGATCCCGCAGTGTCTCGGAGTCCATCGTAGTTTCGGACACTGGGAAGAATTCAGCCCCGACCTTCTCACCGACACCGTTCTGAGGTTTAGGAACCCTAAACCCTAAACCCTAAACCCTAAGCCCTAAACCCTAAACCCCTAAACCCCTAAACCCCTAAATCCTATTATAAACCCTAAACCCTAAACCCTAAACCCCTAAACCGTTAAGGCTGGCATTTCTCCCCCCCGCTTTTTCCAAGATTCCCAGGCAAAGATGGAAGAGCATGAAGCCCGCCATCATCCTCAGCATTTCATGGTTTCGGGCTCGGGTCGCAGCATTCAGACAGTCAGGCGATTTAGGGTTTTTAGGGTTTTTAAGGGTTTAGGGGTTTAGAGTTCATAAGGGTTTAGGGCTTTGGGTTTAGGGTTGTCTTGAACCCTAAAACTTAAACCCCTAAACCCTAAACCCCTAAACCCCTAAACCTTAAACCCCTAAACCCCTAAACCCTAAACCCTAAAACCCTAAAGCGGAATCTCCGAGCTCTGGGGCCCAGGGCTTGCCCTAAAATTGTCCGGCTTTGCTGGCTCTATGGGAAGATTCTCGAGGCCTTCTATATATATATATAATGTACTAACGATTCTGTATGACAAGTAATATAAAGTAGAGTATGTTTCGGATACTATATCATACTATATTATATCATATATACTATTATACTATACTACATTATGGTACATTATATTATATTATATTATATTATATTATATTATATTATATCATATTATATTATATTATATTATATTATATTATATTATATTCTGAGCCGAAAGCAAAGGAGAGATTCAAAGATAGACAACCCCTGCCCAGGCTCTCAGGTGAAGTGTAGGGGTGTTGGAGCTAGGGGCTCGGACAGGTCTAGCAGGAAGATTGCTCAGTTGGAGTTTAGACTTTACGATTCAGAGTTTTAGGCCCAGAAATCAGGATACGCTTCCGTAAAGGAAGCAGATCAAGCCCTAAACATGTGCCCGCATGGGCAGCTGCCTGCTTGTACAATTCAATGTTGGCTACGGCCGATGGGCCAAATCCTGCCCTGCTCCCAGCAAGCAAGGTTCCTGATATGCCGTAGTTTAGGCTCATATGGGCGCCTTGACATGTCGAAGAGGGTTGATGAGACAAGGCAGCTATGCAGTTTACCGGGAGACTTGGCAGATCGGCTTTCTGAAGCGAGTACCAGCTTGTCCTGTGCAGCTAGACCCCGAAATTTTGGCTTGCAAAGCCTAAGCTGGGTTCTTGTTAAAGGATTTAATAATAAGTTACCATAATAAGGAAACCATGTTATTTACTATAGATCCCTATTATGGTAGCTTAAATTAAATCCCTTAGCAAAAACCCGCTAAACCGGAAGCCCGAACCAAGCTCTAAACCCTAAACCCCTAAACCCTAAACCCTAATCCCTAAACCCTAGACCCTAAACCCCTAAACCCCTAACCCCTAAACCAGACCACTAAAAGCCGGCCCGCAGGGACAAGGTGATGGCCACGGCATCCACGAAGTCCATCTGGAAAACCCACTCACCGAGCCCATAGTTCGCCTGCAGGCAAGCTGCACCCTAACCCAAAGAGAACCAGTGAAGAGGATCTCCCAGTCCATTTTTGCAGCGTGTTGTTGAAGGTTGGCCTTTAATTTAGGGTTCAGGGTTTGGGGGTTTGGGGTTTAGGGTTTATTTGTATAGATGCATCAACTCATACAAGGTGAACACCACACCAGTAGTTTGCTGGTATGTCCAAGTACTTAGATCGCACAGAGCTTGATCACTTTTAAGCTACCCTGCAACAATCCTGCCAAATCCGACTGTGTAGGTAACTAGGCTTTTCAGGCGCTCGTATGGTTCATCATAAATGTGCTTGATTCGGTCAAAAAGGGAATAAAGTGATGCTTAGTGTGTTCGGTGGTACTACCATGTTAGCTCTGAGCGAAGGTTGCCACATGTGCATGCAGTCTTGTCATTGAGTTCAGTTGTCGCTCTGCAGTGGTCTTAGAAGTACTATTTCCAGGATAACCCCTCAATAGAACTCACGAATAGTATTCGAAAGCAGCCCTATATGAACCCTATCCGACACCCGGTTCTAAACCCTGGACCCTACTTCATGTGAGCAACTGCGCTTCGAGCACTGAGGAATCGGAAAAAAAGGGCCCTAAGGCTCCAGGTAACATGCAGTATATACGCGTGCCTTGAAGGGGTTCCGTGTATACATATATATATATACACATATATGCTCACATATAGATATGAGTACTTTAAGGCGAAGTATATACTATAGAGGTACGTGGAGCCTTCCGGCAGGGATCCTACCAGTTTCCTGTTGGGCCCGGCCTGGGTGAAGGGTCCGGACGGTCCGGGTGCGTGAGGTCAAGTAGCGAGCTGGTCAGGTATGTAGAAGGACTTTGTCTAACTCTCCATTTACAGCACGCCCATTCAGGCGTGAGGCTTCAGGGTCTTCTTGCCGCGATTTGGTCTGTGTGTGTGTATGTGTGTTTTTCAATTTCAGTTTGGTTTTCAAAGTTCCAGAATAAAACCCTCGACCGGATTGCATATACAGGAGAGCAGAACTGGTCCAGATTCGGCCTGCATTGCGGGAAACCTCAACCCCCCCCAAAGGCCTAAACCCTGAAGCCCTACAGCCCTAAACCCTAATTAAAAGCCCCCCCTCTACGCCCTAAACCTTTAAACCCTAAACCCTCAAGCCCTAAACCCTTACCAGAACACTTTGAGGCCAAAAAGCCGCCAGCCAGAGCGGCAGCAAAATCCGTCGGCTCCACAAGCGAATCTCTCTGGCGTACTGCTTTTGGCACTCCTCACCTCCCAGGTTTAGGGTTTAGAGGCTTAGGGCTTATAGGGCTTATAGGGCTTATAGGGCTTAGAGGGTTTAGGGTTTAGGGCTTATAGGGCTTAGGGGTTTAGGGTTTAGGGTTTATGGTTTAGGGGTTCAGAGGTTTAGGGTTTAGGGTTAGGGCCCGGAGAAGTATCGTTCAGGGTTTAGGGTTTAGGATTATGTTGGGGAGTTCTGTGTTCCAATTTGTAACAGGATCCTGCCATATAGCAACAGGTAGATGACATGAACAAACAAACGGCTAAACTGTGGTTTCATTGATTATAGCCAACACGAAACAAATACACAACCAACTATGCATTCATCTTGTTCTGCGCGGTACAAACACAGGCCGCGCACGTCGTGTTCTTCTGACATCGAGACTGCGGCAAGGCAACTTTCTGTTGGAAGAAGAGTTCGTCTGCTGGCATTGTTGAAGAACCCAGAGCCTCCATCTACCCTCAATACGACCCCTAAATACCCTTAATTATTTGGGACCATATACCCCCGTTGGCTTCAATATGTTTGGGCTTCAGGCGCGGCGAGTCTCAGAGATCGGGGTTTTACGGTTCAGGGATTCTCGTCCCTCCCCCAGATTCAGCAGACATCCTCCAAAGAGAAGGCCCCTAAACCCTAAAACCCTACACCCTAAAACAACCTAAGAACAAAGCCGCCTGTCTCAGACTCCATCTTCTGACTGATGCAGAAGCACCGCCGCTGCGAGCTCTTCGAAGCCTCCGACGGTTTAGGGTTTAGGGCCTTAAGGGTTTAGGGGTTTAGGGTTCAGAGTTTAGGGTTTACCCCGACCCTGACATTGGATGACATTAGGATGCTACCATAAGAAACTACAGTAATGTAACCCAAATAAGGAAGTCCCACGAACGCTCTGTGAACCTGGAATCCTTCGTAACAATATGACTGTGAATCATTGCGTTTTCATAGTCTGTGAACTCACACTTCATACCCTGACATCTGAGAGATGTAGACAAAGTGTTCTAGGCACTTCAGGGCTCATTATAGAGTCTGTAGGATTCTCTGGTTTAGGTAGTCTTCGTGCTCAGGGCTTCGCAGCTTGTGGCTTCGTGGACGGATTCCATCCAGGGTTTAGGGTTTAGGGCTTTCAGATTTAGCGTTTATACGGGTTTACGGTTTAGGGAGCCTCTGAAACGTAGTATCTTTTTCGGCTGCTGTAGCTCTTGATTTGAAGAGCCTTGACGTAAAAAAAGCTCGACGTCATGGAGTCCTGGCATCCCCTAAATAGAACCCTCAAGCCCTCGTAGAAGTCAAGCTTGGAGACCCCCTTTCTTGGCACCGTAAAGAGCTCTTAAAGGAACCCATTAAAAGGAACCCTTGAACACGAAAAATGGGTCGATGTAACGGTATAGCCCATATTGTTTGGACTCCGAAACCCATTTTCAACACCCTGAAGCCCATATAGACCCAAAGGGTCCTAGGTTGTGTTCTGGGGGGATACTTTCCCAAACCATAGTGGTTTTTCCGCTATTCCTAATCTAGAAACCATCCATGAACCCTACATTCTACGATCTTTCCCAAACCATAGTGGTTCTTCCTAATATGGAAACCCTACATTCTACTGGAGAAGTACTTGAGACCCTTTCAAAGAAGTATTGCCCGCGCCTTGCCGCGCGTTCCCCATTTGGCCCCCAAGCCGTCAGCGTTGGCCTCCCGGTCCGAAGCTTCGAAGCTAAGGACTCCTAGTGCGGTTACTGTTTGGCTCATGGCTGGGGGTTTAGGTTTAGGGCTTAAGGGTTTAGGGTTAGGGGTTCGGTGTTTAGGGTTTAAGGCTTAGGGTTGAGGGTTTAGGGTTCAGGGTTTAGGACATCCATACTCTGAATGGTTTTTGGTCTCTAGACCCTACTATTTGGGCACTTGGACCCCCAGGGAGTGGCAGGTTTAGGCTGTATAGGATTTTTGGGTTCTGTATGGGCTATAACCTACCTTAGCAAAGTGATCATTATATAGTGGTAAGCTTGGGCTTTAGGGCCATTCGGTGACAATGTCCCTAAACCCTAAACCCTCAAAGTGGGACGTGGGGGGAGGGCGGGGAGAGGGCTTCGGGAAACAGGCACGCCAAGTGGCCACAGCCACAATCGGCTGCTGCAGATTCTCAATGAAGGTAGTGAGGGGCACCTGAGCGGCACAACCGACTGGTTTAACAGTTAACGGTCCAAAGAACTTATTAAGTGTGGCACTCTATGCGAGTTCTACAAAGCGAAACATCAAGGGCTTTGCAACTATATTTTAAGGTCCCTAGCACCTAATAACTAGGTACTTGCGTTTAGGACTCTAGATTTGAAGGTTAGTAATCGGGAGAGCATATCATGATGAAACCTCTTTCCACATTCGGTGCCGCCAGGGAAGATGCTCAGGATGCGAAGTACGGCAGTCTGCTGCGTTTCATGAGCACCCGAAAGTTAGCAAAGCCGAGGTTGATGCTGATGGTGATATGATCATGGCCTTGATGCTGCATGATGATGATGCTGCTGCTGCTGCTGCTGCTGATAATGATGATGATGATGATGGCGATGACCATGATGATGACGACGACGCTGACGATGACGATGACGATGACGATGATGATGATGATGATGATGACGACGACGACGATTGAATAATAAATGAGAAAGCTATGGGGGACCGTGGATGTGGAGACGTGTTGTTGACATGCATTGTGCTGATGTCGTTCTTGATGACACTAGACCCCAAGCACCACAAGGTTGAAACCCGAAACCTTCATGCCTCAACCATGAAAAGCTCCTATAAGGTTTGGTGCTAAAGGGGTCGCGGCTGTGTTATTCCGAATCTTTGGGGGATACCACCAACAATACACGTACTTGGAACCACATAACCCTTGCTGTCTCTCTATTCGAATCCGGGCACCACGAATATCAGCAGTCCAGCCCACATCCTTCGCAGGCCATGCGGGGCTTGCGCTGCCATCATCAGCGCGCAAACACCTCGGCATGCAGAGCAGGGAAGCGCTTTACGGCAATGCAGCTCTTCGTGAGGACACTGCGTCTACGTGTCCCAACTACCTTAACCTAGAACCCTTAGCATCAAAATAGCCCAAAAGCCTTCTATAATAGGGTCTTTGGGCCCAAAAGCCTTAAAATATGAGTCCTTCGATGCTAAGAGTGAGTGGTTGCTGAACGGAGCGCCTGGTCCCCGAAGACCCAAGACTTCCCAGTCCCCGAAAACCCAAGACTTCCCAAAAGGGTTTAGGGTTTAGGGTTTAGGGTTTAGGGTGGGTTCACACAGAAGGCCCGTTTTGAAGTAGCGTCCTAAGCAAACGAATCCCAAAACAGAAACTAAAACTCCAAGAGTGCGCCATAAGGACAGATTTTTCTCGAATAAAGCAGAATCCTATGTCTGTCTGTAATGAGGCCATCTCGTTCCTTCATTTGTGACTCTAACTTGCAGCTTAGCAGTTAGGGGTTTGCAAGATTTAGGGCTACAGTAGGGTTTAAAACCCTAAATCCTAAACCCCAAACCCTAAACCCTAAACCCCAAACCCTAAGCCCTAAACCCTAAACCCTCAACGTTTCGACCACTCCAAGGCGCCGAGGGTGGAGCCCCAGAAGAAAGGATTCTTCCAGGCGCCGTAGCCCGCCAGGAGCACTGCCATCTGCAAGGCTCCCAGGAGCATGAAGAAGGCCGTCCCTGTGGTTCTCCGACTTCAGGGCTGGAAACCCTAATGTAGGGGCCTCACTTCTTACTAGAATAGGGTTTTGGGGTATCTTATACGATCGTTAGTGATAATGAGGAACCCCCCAAAATTGTATAGGCAATTATTTTAGCCCTTATATTAACCCCTAAAGGAACCCTAGACGCTAAACCCTTAAAGGAACCCCAAAAAACAGCGCTCTTCGGATCGATGTTGGCTTGGTGAGCTCGTGCTATGAGGCTCTAGGGTTAGGATTTCTCGCCTTGACGACACGGACTGCTTCGGTTCCCAGGCTTGCGGAGGGGTGCCCTGAACCCCTATAGGGTTTAGGGCTTAGGGTTCAGGGTTTAGGGCTTCGGGTTTAGGGTATAAATCACCGTAAACCCTGAAGAAGCCTCAGCCCTAGACCCCTCTCACGCAGAATGCTAGAGGAGACTATGTCCCAGTCCTAAACAGACAACAGCTAGCCCTGGAATCACATGTGCCTTTAAACACCTACATAGTGAGCTCCACCACATAAAAGCCACAGCTATGCATGGGCCTTTCGGGCCTTTCAGAACATCAAGGAACCTAACACTACTTCAGGTAGCACGCTAGATGCTTGACGGTTGAACATCCTATCCCCGAAGAAGGAACTTCCCGTTCAAGAAACCCAAACATGTGGGGGAGCAGGGGGTGGGTGGGGTGGGCCAAGAAGCCTCAAAGGTCCTGTTTATGTAGACAAGGAGGGTTTAGGGTTTAGGGTTTGTCGAGGCAGAGTCCAACAAAGCCTTACCCGAAGACCTGAAGCGGATGCTGCCGAAGTCTCAAGCACAGAGCCCTAGACATACGCCCATCTCAGACCCGAAACCTCCAAAAAGCTTCCTTTGTTGGAGGACTCAGAAGAGAACACATCACAATTAGGAGCCCCGCAGATGCAGGTTTCTTAACTCTTACCCTAAGGGTCGTAAGAGGCTAATAATCATAGACTCTCCCAAATATTAA